CCCCCCCCCCCCTTCCCTACTGACCTGCGACCCCCGGCGTGGGCTCAGGCGGTGACGAGCGCTGGGGACAGAAGAGGACGGGGTCACACGGGGTCGGGAGGGGTCACACGGGGTCACGGTGGGGGTCACACGGGGTCAGCGGGGTCACCCCAGGTCAAAGACCTCAGACAGTGATGGGACCTTGCACAAGGTCCTCCCATTCCTCCCCCAGTTTAGGGCATGAGGGGGCACAACCCACATGAGGGTGTTGAGGTGCCCGGGGGGTGGGGGGCTGTGAGGAGCCCAAGAGGGACATAGGGGGGGTGGGATCCCCAAGTGTTATTGGGGTGCCCTTGGTGGGGAGGGGGGAGAAGTTTGGGTGCCCCCGGGGGGGAGCTGATGGGCTGGGGGTGCCTGAGGGGTCTGTGAGGGAGCTCACGGGGGTCCTGGGGTGCCCATGGTGGGGGTCTCAGCACCCACCTTCCCTGCAGAGGCCCCTGGGGGGGGGCGCGTAGTCAGGGCCAAGCAGGAAACAGGCTCTGTCCCGGCCGCAGCGCTCCCGGCCCCCCCCACCGGTGGCTGCCGTTTGGGAGGGTCCGCTGGCCCCGTCCCCCACCTCGGTCCTCGGGGGACAGGGGCTGGTCAATGGGGGGACAATCCTCCTGTGCCAGCGCTGCCGCCCCGTTGGGACGTGCCTCTGGGGGGGACGGGACACAGACACTTGTTATGGGGGGGGTGTGACATCCATACTGGGATGGGAGCACCCCCTCATATGGGGCTGAACCCCCTCCATGTGGGGCTGGACACCCCCCTTTGGACTACAGCACCCCAAAATGCCCCCAAGATACATGTGTACCCCCTGAAACACACCTTAAGTCCCACCCCCATAAAAGACCAGGGAGCCCCAGATAGCATCACCCCCACACATTAAATAAAGAGACCCCCCCCAAAATAGACCAGACCCCCCCACATAGCATCATGCACCCCAAATGGAGTGCCCCCCCAATATAAGACCAGGGACCCCCAAAATAGAGTCAAACAACCCCAAAATACCACCCTCCCCCCCCTCACAGGGTGCTCACCGGCGCGGTTGATGTCCACCACCTCCTCCTGCGCCAAGGGCAGGGGGGGCCCCTGCGGTGGGGCCGGGGGGGGCTTCCGGGGGAGCTGTGGGGGGCTCCGGGGGCTCCGTATCCCGGCGATCCCGGCTGGGGGGGTCTGGGAATGTGTTTGTTCTTCTTCTTGGGCAGCTTCTGCTTGGCCATGGCCAAGGAGTAATACATGCCGAAGTTGTTGACGATGACGGGCACGGGCATGGCGATGGTGAGCACTCCGGCCAGGGCGCAGAGTGCGCCCACCAGCATCCCAGACCACGTCATGGGGTACATGTCCCCGTACCCCAGCGTTGTCATGGTGACCACGGCCCACCAGAACCCGATGGGGATGTTCTTGAAGTAGGTGTGTCTGCTGCCGGTGACGTCGTCCGGGTCGGCGCCGATGCGCTCGGCGTAGTAGATCATGGTGGCAAAGATGAGGACGCCGAGGGCGAGGAAGATGATGAGGAGCAGGAACTCGTTGGTGCTGGCGCGCAGCGTGTGGCCCAGCACGCGCAGCCCACGAAGTGCCGCGTCAGCTTGAAGATGCGCAGGATGCGCACGAAGCGCACGACGCGCAGGAAGCCCAGAACGTCTTTGGCGGCTTTGGAGGAGAGGCCCCGGAGCCCGACCTCGAGGTAAAAGGGTAAAATGGCCACGAAGTCGATGATGTTCAAGCTGCTCTTGACGAAATCCCGTTTATCCGGGCAGAAGCTGACCCGCATGAGGAACTCGAAGGTGAACCACACCACGCACGTGCCCTCCACATACGTCAGGAAGGGCTCGGTCTCCACCTCCAGGGCCACCTGGGTCCATTGGGTGCCGTTGGCCATGGGCACCGTCTCGGTCTTGTTGATGATGCGGTTGAAGGCCTCGTGCGTCTCCAGGCAGAAGGTGGTGATGGAGATGAGGATGAAGAAGAGGGAGGCGAAGGCCACGTACTGCAAAGGGCAGAGGGGGGGAGAAGGGGGTCAGGAGATGGGGGTGGGGGGGGATGTTGGGTTGGGGGTGATGAGCAACTCAAAGGGCTTCAACCTTCATGCACTGAACCCCCAGAACTTGGTGGTAGGACCCCCCGCACCCCAAATCACTGAACCCCAACAGACTAATGGGGGTGCACCATTCAGGCTCCTGCCCCCCCCCCCCCCCCAGTGTATTTGGGGCTGCAGGGACATGGGGGGGCATACACAACATGGGAGGGATCCAGGTCAGATGTGGGGGGGACAAAGAGATGGGGGACCCAGGGGACTTTTGGGGATGTGAGAGGATGTAGGTCAGGATGTGGGGGGATATAGGAAACAGGAGGGTAATCTAGGCCGGGGGGGGGGGTTTGAGGACATGGGGGGGCACAGGGGACGGATCTAGGCCAGGATGGGGTGGTAAGAACATGGGGGGACACAGGGGACACTGGGGGGGGTGTGATTTTGGGACATAGGGGTGGGGAGGGGAGATCTGGGGACATGGGAGGCACAGGGGACATGGAGGAGGATCTAGGCCAGGCTGGTTGGGGGGGGGAGGACATAGGGGGCCCCTGGGGACATGGGGGGGATCTAGGCCAGGCTGGGAGGGGGGCTGGGGACATGGGGGGGGATTTAGGCCACGGGGGGGATGACAGAGGGAGGGGAGGGGATGTAGGACAGGTCGGGGGGGGGAGGGGGCACCGCAGTGCGGTCCCGCTCCCCCCCCTCTGTTCCCCCCCCTTCCCTGGCCCAATGCGGCAGGATCGGGGCCAGCGCCTGCGTGGGGGGGACACACAGAGGGGACATTGAGGGGGAGCCAGGGGACACTGCAGCGGGGATGCAGCGGCTCCTGCCCTGTCCCTGCATAGCCCCCGTGTCCCCTCATCACCCCCAGGGATGGACCCGACCCCCCCCCACCGGTGTCCCCTCAGGGCTCCTGCAGTGTTTGTGTGTCTGTGCCCCCCCCAGAGTCCTGCAGTGTCCCCAAGTACCTCATGGCCCCCCCCAGAGCACCCCCATGGCCTCAGAGCCCGCCTAGACCCCCCCCTTAACCCCCCTCAGCTCCTTCAGTGCCCCCCGCTCTCCTCAAGGAGCCCCCAAACCCCCTCAGAGCCCCCTCAAATCCCCTCTAGAGGCCCCTAAACCCCCTCAGAGACCCCCTTAAGCCCTTCACAGCCTCCCCAACCCCTCACAGCACCCAAGACCCCCCAAACCCTCCGAGAGGCCTCCAGGACCCCCTTTAGAGGCCTTTTACCTCGCCAGAGCCCCCCAAGACCCCCTCCAGGCTCCCTGAACCCCCTCACAGACCACTCGAACCCCCCAGGACCCCCTAAATCCACCCTAAGTCCTCTCAAACGCCTTTGAGCCCCCCTAAACGCTTTCAGACCCCCCTCTATCCCCTCACAGATGACCCAAACCCCCTTAAACTCCGCTCAACTCCCCCACAGACCCTGCAACCTCCCCCCAAACCCCTCAGGTCCCCCTCAAAGGCTCCCCTAAACCCTTTCAGATTCCCCCTAAACCCCCTGAGACCTCCCTAAACCCCTTTAGGGACCTCCTGAATCCCCTCAGATCCCTCTTAAACCCTCTCAGACCCCCCTAAACCCCTTCAAAGGCCCCTAAACCCTTCAGATTCCCCCTAAACCCACTCAGGGACCCCCCAAACCCCCTCAGATCCTTCCTAAACCCGTTCAGACCCCCTCAGGGATGCCCCAAACCCCCTCCAATCCCTCCTAAACCCCTCCAGACCCCCACAACCCCCTTTAGATCCCCCCCCAAACCCCTTTAGATCCCCCCTAAACACCTTTAAACCCCTCTAAACCCCCTCAGGTACCCTCCAAACCCCCTCAGGTACCCTCCAAACCCCCTCAGACCTCTTTAACCCCCCTCACCCTCGCCATCTTCGAGGAGTAGGGATCCTCGAACAAGGCCCAGAGCTTGGGCCTCCACCGCCGCCACCACCCCGCCGGCCTCCCCTCCTCCAGGCACAGCCGCTTGGGCTCGGCCGGCTCCGGGGGCCCGGGCTCCTCGGGGGTCTCGAAGCTGTCGAGCGCCTCCTCGGCGTCGCGGTGCTGCCGGTAGTTCATCCAGCAGCAGGCCTCCACGTCCGTCTCGTCGATGCCCCAGAAGGCCAGCTCCTCCTCGAAGAGCGGCCCGCACACGTCGGCCGGGCAGTGCAGCTTCCCGGTGCGGTAGTAGTTGAGCACGTAGGCGAACACGGCCGGGTGCCGGTCGAAGAAGAACTCCCCCGCCGAGGGGTCGTAGTCGAAGCGGGCGGCGGCGCCGGGCTCGGCCAGGCCGGCGAGGCGGGTGCCGGGCAGGGTCTGCAGGGTGCTGCGGTACGTCTCGTGCCGCACGCCGCCGACGTTGATGACGACCTTGTCGCGCTCCGCTTGCCAGCCCATCGCGATGATCGCGATAGAGAGCGAGGAGGGGAACGGAAGAGACCGGAACCGGGTACCGAGACCACCGAGACCGCAGCCGCCGGGCTGAAAGAGCGGAGCGGCCGCTGCAGCATCCCGCCGCCGCCGGAGCGCCCGCGGAGTGCGCAAGCGCGGAGAGGACACGCCCACCCTGAGGCGAGGCCACTCCCACTGTGAGACATCCATGCCCACGGCGAGGCAGGGCACGCCCACCCTGAGGCGAGGCCACGCCTACCCTGAGGCGAGGACACGCCCACCGCTTGAGACCACGCCCATTGACCATACACAACGCCCTTTCGGGAGACACGCCCACTGAGAGGGAAACCACGCCCACCACCGCGGAGGACGCGCCCACTGTGAGGGGGGAGCGGGTGGGACCACCCCAAGGAGTCCAGGGGCCACTGGAATGGGCCGGGGGGGAGCAGCAGAGTCCAAAGTAGCGCCTTTATTGAAGCAACCCCAAAAGGGGGCCCGGGACCCCCCCGCAGCCGGGGGGGGGCACCCGCAGCTCGCAGGGGTCACCCGGGGACACCCCCCTCTGAGTGTCACTTGGTGGGTGCCAGCCCCACGCGGTCGTGGTCCCGGTCGAACACGGCGTAATGTCGCGTAAGGAACACGTCCCCCAGGATCCAGAGCGGACCGGCGGGAGGGGGCACATCCAGGGCCATGAACCCGCTGACACAGGTGGGGGCCCCCCACTTGGAGACCTGGGAGTGGGAAGTGGAGAAGGGATATGGGGTAGGGGGTATGGGGTATGGGATAGGGGGTATGGGGTATGGGGTAGGGGGTATGGGGTAGGGCGTAGGGGGTAGGGCGTATGGTATAGGGAGTAGGGGGTATGGGATAGGGGGTATGGGACATGGGATATGGGGTATGGGATATGGGGTATAGGGTAGGGGATATACGATGGGGGGGGCATGGGGGACAGGGGTTCCCACCTGCAGCACGTAGTCTTGGGGACCAAGCGTGAACTCGTGCCCCCCCAGCACAAAGGTGATGTTGGGCAGGGACGGGACCTTGTCACAGTCCAGCAGGTACTGGGGGGGGCACAACACAGAGGGCGTGAGGACCCCCCCGAAGGGGACACCCCCATCCGAGGACCCAAGGCTCCATGTGCCCCCCACCATGGGCTCCATGGTACGGTCCCCACCTGCCCCCCCAGGGCGGGGATTGCCCCCAGGGCTCGCTGCAGTATGGCCATGTCCTTGCTGGGGGCGGTGATGAGGGACGTGCCTGTGTCCACGATAGCCTCGCAGCCCCCCCCACAAAGGGGGGGGTCCCGGCACCCCATGGACCCTGGCGTGCCCACAGACACCCTGCGGGGAGGGGACAGAATGGGGAGGTTATGGGGTGAGGGGTTTGGGGGTGCTGTGGGGCAGGTAGAGGGGTTTGGGGGTGTTTGGGGGGGGTGAGGGTCTCACCTCTCCATGTGCACCTGCCAGTAGCTGCGGCGCGACACTGGGATGTAGTGGAGGGGGCCCTCGAACTGCTCCTCGTCGATGCCCCCCAGCAGCAGCTCCCCTCCGTCACCCTCATCTGCCCCACTGCACCCCACAGTCAGGAGGGGGGGGCATTAGGGGGGCTCCGAGGGTAATTACAGTGTAGTTGTGGGGTAGTTACAGTGTAACTGGGGGGTACTTGTGCTGCAGTTTGGGGTAGGCAATGGCCAGTTCGGGGGGGGTAACTGAGGGGTAGTTTTGGTGTAGTTGGAGGCTACTTGGGCTGCAGTTGGTGGGTGGTTGGGGGGTAGTTACAGTGCGGTGAAGGGGTGGTTATGGTGTAGCCAGGGGGTAGTTAGAGTGTATTCAAGGCGTAGCTGTGGTGTAGTCAAGGGGTAGTTACAGTGTATTCAAGGGTTAATTATGGTGTAGTCAAGGGGTAGTTGTGATGTAGTTACAGTGTAGTCAAAGGATAGTTACGGTGTAGTCAGGGGGTAGTTACGGTGTAGTAAAGGGGTGGTTATGGTGCAGTCAGGGGGTACTTGGGCTGTGGTCAGGGGCTGCCTCAGGCTGTAACCACGTTACCTGCGCAGGCGGAAGGAGAAGACGTTGCTGCTGAAGAGCCGGTTGTGCATCATGGTGTCGAACACGGGCCGCGCGGGGCCGGCGGCAGCGCTGGGGTACGCCAGCCCCAGCACCCCGTCGAAGCGCGCGGCTGCGAAGGCCAGGCCCGGCAGTGCCACAGCCTCGGCGAACGTTTGCCCCGGCACCGAGACGTTGGACACCTGTGGGGCAGAGCATCCCCGGGGGCAGTGAATGGGGGAACCTCCCCCACCATTGGCACCCAATGCACCCGGTACGGCCCCTTCGCCGAGCCCCACCGTGAGCGTGTCCTCGCTCAGGAAGCCCCGGAGGCTGCCGCTGCCGTAGCTGATGGCGAAGGCGGTGCCGTTGGGCCGGTGGGTGCAGGACAGCGCGGGTTGGTAATGGGGGTGCAGCCCTAGGGGGAGGCCGGGGGGGGGGGGGGGGCGTCAGGACCCAGCGGAGCCCCGGCCTGGCCACGCCTCCACCGCCAGGCCACGCCCTTTGGCATCAGACCACGCCCCCCCCCTTAAGCCCCGCCCCTCACAGCAGGCCAGGTAGAGCAGGCAGCAGCGGGACGAGGGCACCCAGAGATCGGCGGAGCCGGTGTCGAAGATGACCCGAAAGCGCTGGGGGGGGGTCCCCAAGGACACGGTGCCATAGAACTGAGCCTGTGGGGGGGGGACACGACGTGATTACGTCATCATGTCCCCCCCAATCCCCCCCTTCCCTCCTCCTCAGGACCCCCCATCCCTTGCCCCCCCCCTCCCCATTGGGGTTGGGGTCCCCCCCTCACCCTGCCCCCCCCACTCACATCCATGTAGTTGTGCAGGCGCACGGGGGCCGCGGCCGCCCCTCCCCCGCTGCGGCTTCGGGGGCCCCCCCAGTCCCCCCAGAACTTGGGGGGGACCCAGGGACCCCGCTCCAGGGGGATGCTGGGGGGGGGTGTGGTCAGTGAGGGTGGGGGACAATGGGATGGAGCCAATGAATGGGATGGGGCCAGTGAATGGGATGGGGTCAGTGAATGGGATGGGGTCAATGAATGGAGGGGACATGGGGGACAGGAGTGGGGCATCCACCACAGAGATACCCCAAGGCTTAATGAGGTTAATTAATAAGGCTGATGTGGGGGGGAGAAAGGAGGAACCAGGGGCCTCTTTGGGTGGGGATAATGATCTTAATGAGAGATTAATGAGCTAAAAGGGGGGGGCCTCAGGGGTCTACTGGGTCCTAATGAGCTTAATGAGGGGATGCGGTTAATGAGGGGTGGGCCAAGGGGGCGTGACCTAAGCAGGTTAACGAGGGGATGGGGTCAATGAGTTCAAAGGGGGGACCCAAAAGGGGTGTAGCCAAGGGGTGTTAATGACGTCAATGGGGGTTCCCCAGGCCCCGCCCCCTGGGGAAGGGGTTATAAAGGACCCCAAAGCCCGAGGTCACCCTTTCGGGGGGGGAAGGTCACCCTAAAGGTCAAAGGTCAGGCGTGGGGTCACGCCCCCCCGGGTGGGGCCGGGGCTGAGCGGGTCCGACCGGCTCCTGCCCCCGCCGGGCCCCGCCCAGGACCGCGAGAGCCCTGCCCCTCCCCCCAATGGGAAACCCGGGACCCCCCGCCCATCCCCCCCCCGGACACCCATCCCCCAGCCATGGGAACCCCGTTCTTGCTCATCCCTCCCCCCCCCCGATAACCCCCAACTCCCCCCCCCCCGGGTACCCCAAACCTCAGGTTCCCCCGCAAAGGGTGTCCCCCCCCCTTTTACCCCTTACCCCCCTCCAAAAGACCCCTCCCCACATGGGAACCCCCTGCGCATCCCCCCCTTTGGACTCTTCCATCCTCCCCCCAAAAAAAACTCAACCCCCCCCAAGTTGTCTGGTTCCCCCACCCCCCCAACATTCCCACGTCCCTCACCCCCCGGAACTCCCCCATCACCCCCATTGCGCCCCCCCATGAGACCCCTCCCCCAGCAGGACCCCCCAAAACCCAACTGTTCCCCCCCAAATATCCATGTGTTCCCCCCCGAAACCCCTTTCCCGCCCCCCTTCAGGATCCCCCCAAACTCATGCCTCTCCCCCGCCCATCATTTACTCCCCATCCCTTATTCCTCCCCCCCACACTGACCCCCTCCCCCAATTGAGCCCCCCCCTCGCCCCTCACCGCAGCATCGCGCCGGCCCCAGTCACCAGCAGTAGGAGGCGCCCGAGCGCGGGACCCCCCATGGCCGCGTCTGTGCCCCCCCGCGCCCGGCGCGCGCGGGGAAACCCCCCCAAGGCCCCACCCACCCCGCCCATGGCCACGCCCCCCTTCCACGCCCCCTTCGCACCCCTCCCAGAGCCACGTGGGGGCCGGAGGTGACTCAAAGGGCGGGGGGAGGGAAACCCCAAAACCACCCCCTCCACATCCGGGGGGGGCCCTGAAAGGGGCCCATAATTAGGGGGTGCCACGAAACCGCCCCCCCAAGTCACATCCTTGTGGGGGGAGCCCCAAAACTGCTCCCAAACTGGGGGATACACCAAAATTGGCCACAATGTGGGGGGGCACAAACAGCCCTCACATCGGGGGAGCCCCAAAACAGCCCCTTAAAGTGGGACACCCCTCCCAAAATCGACCCATTATTTTTCCTCCCCAACCAGCCCCACACTTAGGGGGTGGGGACCCCTAAAATCACACACACCTCCCTCCCATGGACCCAGTCATTGGGGTGGGTGTGAAGCACCTTTATTATCCATGTGCCGGGGGGGGACGGACGGATGTGGGGTCCCCCCCGGACCCACACTTGGGGGGTGGAGTGTGTGTATGTGGGGCTGCCCCATATCCCCCCCCCTCTTTGTGATATGGGGCTCCCCATTTTGCTGTGGGGCTGAGCCCAGGCACTGTGAAGGCATTGAGGTGATGGGGGGGGATACAGGGCACCCCAGAAACCCCCCCATATCTGTGGGGCTGAGCCTGAGCGAGTGCTGTGGGGCTGACAGAGGTGGGTACACCCCGAATCCCCCCCCACACCCCATAATGGTATGATCCAAGTGCTGAGCCACACTTGCCATTGGGCTGTTCCTCGTGGGGCAGGGACCCGGGGGTCAGTTCCTGGTGGGGAGCCCGGGGGGCTCGGGGGGCGCCGGATGTTGACTCTGTCCTTGGCAGCTTCTTCCTCCTCGTCGTAGCGCTCATCCTCTTCGTCGCTGTGCCGGGGGCTGGAGAGGCGGGAAAGGGCCGGGGACGGTGGCACCGAGGCCGGGCGTGGGTACCGGAAACCCTGGAATGGGGAGGGGAGAGTGGGAATGGGGCCATGGGGATATGGGATATAGGATATGGGATGTGGGGACATGGGGATACGGGATATGGGATATGGAATGTGGGGACATGGGGATATGGGGACATGGGATATGGGACATGGGGATATGGGGATATGGGATGTGCGGGTATGGGATATAGGGATAGGGACATTGGATCTGGGATACGGGGATATGGGAATATGGGACATGGGGATATGGGGACATAGGACATGGGATATGGGACATGGGATATAGGGATATGGTACATGGGATATAGGGATATGGGACATGGGGATATGGGATATGCAGATACAGGGATATGGGGACACAAACTCACAGCTGCAGCCTCAGGGGGGTCGTAGGTGAAATTCTCAGGAAAGGCTTTGGCCAGTGCCATGCGCCGGGCAAAGGTGTAATACTGGGGAGGGGGGGAGGCAGAAAGTCAGGGGGGTGAGATAGCCCCCCCCCGCACCCCCCCTTCACCCCCCCGCTCTCACCCTGCCCAGGTACTTCCAGTCGAGCAGGTCGGAGAGGCGCTCGGTGCGGTTGCGCTGCACGATGCGCTGCCGCCGGCTCTGCTGGCAGAAGCCGTACAGGAAGGCCGTGAGCTGCGCGCACGACTCCTCCGGGGCCCGGAACCGCCGGTCCACGATGTAGATCCCTATGGGAGCAGAGGGAGATGGGGATGGCGTCCGATGGGAGACAGGGACATGGGGACCAAGGACTGGGGGGGGCAAGGGACCACAGAGCCAGGACCCAAGGGGACAATGACCCAAGGACCAAGGGACCCAGTGAGGCAAGGATGAGGGATATGGGGACCCCCCCATCACCCAGTGTCCCCCAACGGACCAGAGTAAGGATCCAAGGGGACAAGGACCAAGGGACCCAGCAAGGCAAGGACAAAGGATACAGGGACCCCCCCATCACCCAGTGTCCTCCAATGAACCCCCACTGACCGTAGGCCGAGGGGTCTGCGATGTGCTCCTCCATGAAGCACCCGAAGCCCGAGAGGTTGGTGGAGACGCTGGGGATGCCCATGACCGTGCACTCAGCTTGGAGCAGAAAGAGGGAGGGGTCAAAGGGTGGGTCCTCAGGTGCCTTTGGGGGTGTTGGGGCTTGGGGGGTGGGCCACATGGGTTCTTACCTGGGGTGTACCCCCAGGGCTCGTAGTAGGAGGGGAAGACCCCCAAGTGGCAGCCCCGCACGAACTCCTCGTAGTCCACGGGCAGGAGGGGGCTGGTGGAGGACAGGAACTCGGGGTGGAAAATGATCTGGGGGGGGGGAAAGGCAGCACAGGGAGCCCCAGATCACATCTGGGAGCCTCAAATCACATCTGGGAGCCCCAAAATCACATCTGGGAGCCCAAAATACCCTCCATGGACCCCAAAACCCCAATCCATGGACCCCACCCCACCCCATGGAGCCCCAAATCCAAACTGGGAACCCCCTAAGTCCCCCCCAAACCCCCCAAATCTCCCCACCCCCCCACTCCTGTGCCCCCCCTATCATCGCCACCCCCCATGCCCCCCAGCGTCACCTTGACCCTGTCGTTGCTGCTGTTGAAGAGCCCGATGCGCCGGATCGTGGTCAGGATGGGATCGGTGGCATCGTCCAGCATGTTGTGGGTGCACACGGGGGGGAAGGACTGACGCTGAGGGGGAACACACACATCCCATCTCCACATCCCACATCCATAGCCTGTATCCCAGGAACCCACATCCCATAGCCATACCCCTACCCCATCCCACTGGGGCCATACCTGGGTGGCAAAGATGGCACGTTTCATCATGGTGAAGTCCTCCCGGTCCAGCATCTTGTTCATGTCTGGGAGATTCCCACTGGGAAGGATGGGATGGGGGAGCTCAAACTTGGGATGGGGGTGGGAGGATAAAGATGGGATGGGGAGGTTGGGAAATGGGACTGGGGGGATCAATCCCAGTGTCCAAGAGGGGGTTGAGGGGGTTCCTCACACCAGCAGCGACTCGTAGAGCTTCTTCCCAAACTTCTCCTTCACGGCATTGGCCGTGTCCCTGTGGGAAGGGGGGGGGGGAAGGAAATGGAGGGGTCAGATGGGTCCGGGGGGTGGTTTGGGGGTGTTCTGGTAGGTATTTGGGGGGTTGGGGTGTTTTGGGAGGTTTTGGGGGCATTTTTGAGGTGGTTTGGGGGTATTTTGGGGTGGCTCTGGCATTGTTTTGGGGTGTCCAGGGTGTTTTAGGGGTGTTTTGGGGGGGTGGGGCTGTTTTGGGGTGCTTTGGGTTCCCACCAGAGCTGCTTGCGCACGGCCTGGCCCTTGAGTGACTCCACATTGAAGTTGTTGGTGCGGGCGGGCATGATGAAGAAGGCCACCACCGTCACCTCGCTGCCGTTCACCTGCAGCACAGCGGGGTCCTCACTGTCCCCAGGTGCCCCCCCCATCCCTCATTAACCCCCAGTGCCCCTCCATGGCCGTTCCAGGTCCCCCCTTTTTCCTCCCATGTCCCCATCCTATGCCCCCCCCCCCCCATCTCTTCCCCTTGCCCCTTTTGCTCCTGCATCTCTGTCCCCACATTCCCTACCAGGTCCCCACAATCCACATGCTCCATCCCATATCCCTCTCCTACCCCACCCCATCCCATCTCCCTCTCCCATCCCATCCCATCCCATCCTGGCACCCGCAGCAGGTAGTTGAGCCGCGCCAGCGCCTCCAGGAAGATGTCTGCTCCCTTGTTGGAGAACTCGTAGCGCCCCGCGATGAAGAAGAACAGGGTCTTGTCCAGGTCGAAATCCAGGTGCCTGCAGGGACCCCAGCACTTGAAGGGGGGGGCCCAATGGCCCCAAATGCCCCCCAATGGCCCCAAATCCCCTCCAATGGCCCCAAATCCCCACCCAAAACCTCTTGAAACCCCCCCAGGCCCTTTGGTCCCCCCCAACCCCCTTGCCCCCCACAAGCCGCTTTGCCCCCCCAGCCCCTTTGCCCACCCCCCCTTTCTGCCCCAAATCCCTTTCCCCCCCCCCCCCAGCCCCTTTGCCCACCCCCCGGCCCCTTTGACCCCCCCCAGCCTCCCCACTGGCACTGACCCATAGAAGTGGCCCCGCACAAACTCCTGCACCCGCGCCTTGCTCTGTGCATGCAGGTTCTGGAACTCGTGCATGGCCGAGAACTTGCGCACATTCAGTCCATTGGGGGTCACTAGGTCTGGGGGGGCACAAACGGGGGGGGGAGGGACCCCAACTGCTGGGACCCTCCTGGAGCCCTTTTGGGGGTCCCCCTGGGTCCTTCTATGGGGCCCTGGGTGCTTCAAAGGGCTCCCTATGGGAGTGGTTTGGGTGCTCCCTGGGGATGTTGGGGACCTGGAGTGCCCCCATGGCGGTTTTGGGGTCCCTGCTGCCCCTATGGCATCATTGAGGTTCCCCCGTAGCTCCCTATGGAGCTGTGCTGACGTCCAGCTCCACCCAGGGGCGTTCCTGTGTCAACACTGGGGTCCTTTATGTGCTGGCCCCCCCTTCGGGGTGCGTTGGGGTCCCCCATAGGGGCTGTAGGGACCCTCATAGGGGCTATAGGGACCCTCATAGGGGCTATAGGGACCCCTATATGAGCTACAGAGCCCCCCATAGGGGCTGCAGGGACCCCATAGGGGCTTTAGGGACCCCCATAGGAGCTATAGGAACCCCATAGGGGCTATAGGGACCTCCCATAAGGGTTATAGGGACCCCCATAGGAGCTATAGGGACCCCATAGGGGCACGCACCGGGTTTGCGCTTGAGGAGGTGCTCGGCCTCGGCAGCGGTCACGTGGGACACGGTGGTGAGCACGTGGGCGCAGTGCGCGGCTGCGCGCTCCAGGCAGTACCGGTGGTAGATCTGCCGCTCACCTGCCTCCTTGTCCACGTCAAACTGCATGGAGGGGGGGCTGTGACACATAAGTAACCCCCCGGACCCACAAGTGCCCCCCTGGACCCACAGAGTCCTCACAGGCCAAGCTC